AGAGACAGAGACAGAGACAAAGTCAAAGCAAGGAAAGAAGAATGCTATTTTATACAAAGAAGTGTTTGTTAAGGGAACATTTCATCCAGTATTCTTTATAAGCCATTTACTACTGACCTCAATCCTAGAATCTTATTTCCCATGGCTAAATCAATAGAAAGGATACTGGGAATATAGGGTGTAAATCTTAATTCATCCTAATAAGAATATGCATATCCTAAAGTAATAAATTTAAAATAGGTAAAACTTCATCTAGTACAAAAATAAAAAACGTAAAATCAAAGTATATAAAATAAAATAAAAATATGTTATGCGTGTGTTTGTGTCTATGTGCATGCTGACATGAGTGTAGGCACGCAGAGGCCGGAAGAGGAGCTGGCGTTCCAGGAGGCTGTGAGCAGCCCAACATGGGTTCAGGGAACTTAGGTCCTCCACAAGAGCAGCAAGGACTCCTATTAAGCTAAGCCATCCCTCTAGTCCCCAAACAAGGGAGATTTTTTTTTTAAATGGCAATGACTCAAATCACAATGTTAGTGTGTTTCTTCTTATAATTGGGACAGAAAATCTATTTATCAGTTTTTAGTAATCCTGAAAACTGGAATCAAAGTAAGTCTATTAAAATGAAGAAAGAGACTCAAATGATGGTGAGAGGATTGGAAAACTAAGAGATGGCACTCACAGAAAATAAAACAGGGAAACCTGGGTGTGTGTGTGTGTCCACGAAACAATCGGCCATAGGAAGTACAGAGTTAAAGCTTCTAAGCATGTCAGTGAAGTCCTCTGGAAATCATGCACTGTTTACTGAACTCAGTCCTTAGTTATCTCACCATGGTGCACTTATTGCTAAAAGCATCTTCATTTACATGTATGGCACACTGCCCCGAGGCTGTTCTTAACCTGCAGAAATCATTTAGTCACCACTGTTAACCCCGTTACTAGCAACTGTTACTGTTATACTTGGTACTGTCCTGGAGTCTCTCTTCTTTCCCCTGCTCTCCAGAGAGGCCATAGTCAGCTCTGAGAGTGGAAAAGAGTCTAGGTTTCTATTTGCTGTTTTCTTATTTTGAATACTGTGTGTCAGCTGATACAAATCACTGCAAAAACAAACTAAGAAACTGACAAACAATGACTCCGAGTGGGTTCTTCTTGTCCTACAACATATTTGAAGGCGGCGGCCCCAGTCTAACCTTAGACTAGGTGACAGTGCTGCAGACAAGGGATGTCTGCTTTCATTAACAGCTACTCACAAAGTCGCTCTCAGTTAGGTCTTCTGTCCAAAAGCTAACAGACATAGAGCAGGAGCTGTTCATGCAGGAAAAATCATGAGAACAAATGCTTCCCAAACTTTAGATACTGGCCAGATCAAAGATTAAAAACAAAAAAGCAGTTGAGGGATTTTTTGAGAATCAAACTAACCTGCCACCAATTTGGGTCTTCTCTGTTTACAATCTGAAGAATTTCTCCTTTGGAAAACTTCAGTCCCGCTTCTTTGCAGGGTATCAGGTTATCATTGAATGGATTATAATCAAAATGACACTTGACAAATACCTAAAACACAGCACAGTGAAAAAGCTTGTATGTGTAACATAAGCACTGGATAGTGAAACCAAACCACTGTGATTTAATTGTAACAGACACTAAGTATTTCAGATAAAAAACTTATTCTCCTAAATAAAAAACAATTTATTAGAATATTAATATGATTTGGTATTATAGAAAATTAAACATGTATGCTACAACAAAATTATATGTGTTTTAATAACTCCTATTTCTTTTTTGTGATGTTAGGGTTTAAACTTTGGGCTTTGCATGTGAGTAGGTGAGTGCTCTACCACCCTTACAACCATCAACAAGGGGGACAACCACTCCTTTCCATCCTCTCTCCCATCTTTTCATTTGATTTCCCAACAAACTCTGTATAAGTTTTAATTTAAGTAAATGTCATTTTGCAGTTAAAACCCTGAAATAATGGGTGCAGTTAGTTTAAGGCATCTTTTTCTGACCTATCAGGACTGAGATTGTACAGACACCTTGAAGTCTAAATTAAACAACAAAGGTCATCTTGAAGTGAGACCTGAAATATATTCGGTAACCTTAAAAAAATGAAAAACTCAACTTTACTTCTAGTAGTATTTTAATCAATTACACTGGCCAAAACTAACAAGGAAAATAGTTTCTTGAAATCATCTTACCATGATTTATATATATATTTTTTTGTTTTGTTTTTTCGAGACAGGGTTTCTCTGTGTAGCTTTACGCCTTTCCTGGATCTCACTTGGTAGCCCAGGCTGGCCTCAAACTCACAGAGATCCACCTGGCTCTGCCTCCCGAGTGCTGGGATTAAAGGCGTGCACCACCACTGCCCGGCTGATTTATATGTTTAAATTTAAATTAGGATTAAATTACTTATGAGACAAATACTAGAAATGTCTTAACTATTTTCCAATTTAAATTCAAACATACACATTTCTCTTAAATTTGTTTTAGTAATAAAAGTATACCATTTACTTAAGATCTCCACTGCTTCCAACATACTGCTTATTTAATTTGAATTCTAATTAATCATTTTTAATATTTGATGGAAAGTTTAGATCAACGGTTTTCTTAAAATAGACATGCTTCATACATATTTATAGAAATTCAAATTTTATCTTCTACAGAAAAGCCTTAGCATTAATCAGCACAAAAACTCTAATAAGCAGAAATGCATACAATTAGTCAAACTAACAATGTTACTTTTCTATGTGTATCATACTTCTACAACTAGAAACAAATAAAATATTCCAATAGTACAAGTACATATACTGTATTATTAGTATGCTTAAAAACCACCCAGTGTGAAAGATGCATAGGAAGGTATTTTTAAACTCTGGGTACATGTGATCTTGATAGAAAGCTCTAGACCATCTGCAACAACTTTGCAAAGCCTGAAAATCAATGCTTAAACAAACCAGGAAGGCACTTTTTCCTGATATATAATTTTAGAAGTATCTAAGAAGCAAGCATGCAAACAATATTAAGATTGCTAAGCCGTGACAGGTGGCTAATGAGTCTGGCATGCAGCTCAAGGCTCTGGCAATGAACAACTCATAATGATAAAGTTTAATCAGGGTAAATTTAGTTAACTGCTAAGACAGAACAACAGGAATACCAGAGAATGTTCTCACATGATATCATACCTGACGGACGTGGGCTGGATGCCTCTCCATACTGGTGTAACTCTAAAAATATATTTTTTTTTCAATTGCATAAACAAAGCCAGACTTTTAACTTATAACTTAACAAAATATAAGTAAGCTCCTGGCTCATTTTATTACTTCACTCATTTGGTAAAGCCACTTCCTCCCTAATTAACTGTCCACGGTATAGCACCTTCAGAGAAGTAGAAATGACATCAGCAAACAGTAGCAGGCACTGACAGGAGGCAGAGAAGAGACCATGTGAGAAGCCATAAAAATAGCAGTACATTTCTTACTTCTGGAGAAAGGCCCACTGAATGAAAACCTCGTGCCACCTAAGCGAGGGTGTTTATCATTCTTGGTTGTAGAATAATACTCTGCAAAGTTACAAGCATTTTCCAAATTTAAAACATTTATTTCCCTTATTCAGAGATGCCAATATCCAACTCAGATGTAAAAGGATTACCAAAAGGCACAATTCTTTGGCTTCTTAAACTGTTTTTGGAACATTACCCTCAAGCTCCAAAACTCAGATTAATGTGGTTTTAACTTCTGAAAAATCAATTATCCTAGCCTTTGATCTAGGAGTTTTATAAAATCTTTAAAATCATTAAAGAGCTGACTTATTGTATTCTATGAACTGCATTAACAGTTTATGAATGCTAACTGATCATTCTTAAGTTATTAAACAACACTTAAGAAAATATTTCAGTTCTGTACTCTCACCATCAAAGGAAAAATTGAATAACCAACAATTTAAAATTGACAGTAGAGAAAGGGAAGTACAAATAGCTTTGAAGCACAGATGCTCAAACTATTCAGAATAGAAACAAAAATTAAAACTCTGTTAGGATAACACTTTCTTCTTATTAACTAGTACAAATTCAAATATTTGACATTCTGCAGATAAGAATATGGACCAATAGGGATTTTCCTAATGGGCTTATGGAAGAATGCTTCAACCTCTTGGAAGGACAATTTGTTAATAATTACCAAGATTACAAACACATAAACCCTCTGACTAGTAATCTACTTCTGGGAATGGAGTCAGCCGTTATATTACTCAGAAACATGTGAAGTGACTTACATACAATAGTAGTAACTACTGAACTATTCATTATAGCAAAAGATTAGAAGCACTCTGTGGCAATGATGAGTTGCCTAAAAAAGACCTACATAATGATAATATACCAGTCCACATGCCAATGATGAGGGGGAAATTTCAAGGTTCCACCTCAAAAAGCTACAGACAATGGATGGCTGCTGAGAGGGAGACATCCAGTCATCTCCAAAGACAAGAGCCCCTGATGTGCTATGGAATCCCAAATGATCAGTTCTAAACACATGTACATAAAAGCTACACCAAATGGGCTCAGTAAGTTGTGTGTGTTGCTTAACAATAATGATTACAGAAGAGGAGGTCATGTATTTAAGAGGGTGTGGAGAAGGATATAGGAGATCGTTGTGGAACAAAGAAGGGTAAACATAATGTAAAATACAGTTTTCATATATTAAATTCTCAAAACCCCCATAAGTTTAAATTTAACAACAACAAAGCAAACATGAGCAGGTATGCAAAGAACTAGGAACAAATAACCTGGAACAGGGAGAAAAGTCAATTAAGAATAGTCCAGAACACCCAGAAGTAGTGGTGTGCTCTATAATCCTAGCACTTGGGAAGTAGCAAAAGGATCAGTTCAAAGTCATCCTTAAGTACCAAGAGGATGGGAGGCCAGCTTGGACTACATGACAATGTGTCTCAAAAATGAAACCAACCGACTAAACAAGTCAACCTCTTTTGATCTCGCAAAAACAAATAAACAAACAAACAAACCCAGAACAAAACAAAAACAGAAATGGCAAATATGAAACAATTAGTAAACAGTACTTTTTACAACCAATTGTGGTAATTCGTGCCTATAATCCTAATACTTCGGAGGTTACAGTAAAAAGATTACCCACAACTTCAAGGCCAGCCTGGGCTACAGAGTGAGAACCTGTCTCAACAAGACCAGCAAAATAAACACCTAAATTTTACATATTATATTCTTATTTTCAAGAAATTATTGGAGGAATTCAAATTGTTCAGTAGCCCACAGTGCATATAAACAGGACTTAATCCCAGAGCTGGGCATGATGGTCTATGACTATAATCCCAGCACTCATGGGGGCTAAGAAAGAATAATCACAAGTTTGAAAACTGGATGAAAGTCTCTGCAAACTAGAATTGTGATGAAACATTTGTCTGTAGGTATTTTGGAGTTAATATTACTGTGATGAAATATAACCAAGCAACTTGAGGAAGAAAGGGTTTATTAAATGGCTTAAATATCCTGAATCATAGCCCACTGAGGGAAGTCAAGGCAGGAACTCAGACCAGGTGAAAACCTGGAGGCAGGAGCTGATGCAGAAGCCACAGAAGGGTGCTGCTTACTGGCTTGTTCCACCAGTTTCTTATAGAACCCAGGACTACTGGCTCATGGGTAACCCCACCTACAATGGGTTGCCTCCTACCCCAAATCAATCATTAAGAAAATGCCCTACCTACAGGCTTGCCTGCCTAAAGCCTGATCTCTGGAGGCATTTTTCTCAATTGGGGTTCCCTCCTCTTAAATGACTTTAGCTGTGTCAAGGTGACATAAAACTAGCCAGCACACCAGAATACCAAACAATGCCAAAACCAAACAAGAGAACAACATGAAACAGACAAAGACATGAAGACTTCACTGAAGTGGACAAAAGCATGGAAAAGAAGCACATAAAAAATTCAATCTTATTCATCAGCAGTGATACGCAAACTAAAATTGCAGTTAGCTACTACTATATGCTTATTATACTGACTAAACTAAAGAATGATCACACCAAATATAGCAAAGACACTGAGTAAAAGAAACTCATGCAATGCTGGTGGGACTGTAAACTGTTACAATCATTCCTCAAGTTTTTTTTTCCTAGAATTTCAACAGATGCCTACCATATGACCAACTCTCTCAATCCCTAGGTATGTATAGCACCTAGCTATTTTGTAATAGCCCCAAACTGGTAATAACAAAAATGTTCATCAATTTATACATAAACAGATTGGTATGTCCATGCAATGAAATACCAGATCAATAAAAAGGTATGAACTATCAATACAAGTAAGCAAAAAGGATAAATCATGCAAATTTATGCTGAAAGAACCCAGGTAAAAACTGAAGTTCATTTCTAGATTTCTAGATTCTATAGGACCTTCAAGTTAGACACACAATTCAAAACTCTGACTCTAGGATTCCTATGAGTGAGAACACGAATCTTCTGTCATTCTTCGGTCTGAGTTAACTCACTTAGTATACAGTCTGGGAGCTCATATGCTAAATGAGCATAGGTAATAGTATCAAACTGCCTAAGAAAATCAGATCTCTACCACCACAGATTAGTGCAGCTCTCAGACTGAGTCCGGTAAGTTTCTTAGTGTGGTGCACCGTGGTGAAAGGAGAAACTCACAACTAATCAAAGAGCAAAGATTAAGTGTCTATGGAATGCTCAGCAACAATGGGACATCTTTATTATACCCCTTCCCTGCAAGGCTCAGGGACCAAGTATGAGGGAGATGGAAAGACTTTAAGAGCCAGAGGTCAGAGAGGACCAGAGTGAAACAGCTCTTCTGGACATGAGCAGACTGCTGCCCTCAGGAACTCCCAGCAGCTGTACCTGCCTGTACAAGACCTGTACAAGATCAAGCCAGTCACCATTCCAGCACTGAGGGGAGGGCCTCATGAGCCTCTGTCTGTGTCTGCGGAGCCTTTGGCAGCTGAAGCAAGGGAGGCAGAGTCCAGGCCCCACACCATGAATAAATGGAGGACACAAAGTCAGGTGAGAGTGAGAGGTGGCTCTGGGAGGGGTTGGGGGAACAGTACCAGAGTGAATATAATCAAAATACACTATATGCACATATGGAATCCTCAATGAATAAAAACTACATTAAAAGCTAAAATCCAAAGAAGTATGAGATGATTTACTCATATGAAAATATGGGACTGCAAAGTAAATCACACTGACAGAATGCAGACCAGCCATTGCTGTCGCCTGGAGTGAGGGAGGGAGGAAGGAGGAGGGAACGGTACAAAGCGTCTCAGGGGACTCAGGTGACAGGTGAGTTTCCTATCACAACTGTGTCAATGGTGGCACAGGTGGAGAGGAATGCTTCGGGTTATGAAACTGTGTACTCTTGAAATTACACTTGAGTTACGTAAGCTCAACTACTTAGTTAGTGAATTACATAATAAAGAAGCATGGTCTTGCCACCCCAAACATAAGCTAGAGACCTGGTCCTCCTGCTCTCATTTCAGTTCAACCCATTCTCCTGGCTTCCCCAACCAACAATCTTTACTTTAGATCTTGCATTCAACTCCCTGTTTTTCCTTCTGGACACAGCTTTAATTTCATCTATGTTATTTAAAGAAATATGTAGTCATTTTAAAATAAAAATACTATAATATATGCACATAATGTTTTAGCATTTATATGCTCATTAATGAATTTCCGACTATACATATGCAAGAATTATTCTAGGAAGGGACCGAGTTTTAGAACACATGAACATTCAGCTTGAAGAGACATTACTAAACATCCTTCCCATCAACATGCTATACCAACTGTATTCTACCATTAACGAAGGCGACATATTGTAGATTCATGTACACATTTTTCTAACTGAACTGTGTAAGAGAGCATCTCACACTGTGATTTTCAGTGACCAAGGGTCTGTTTTTACTTAATTTGACTTTGTATATGATGTGAAACAATGACACAATTTTAGATTTTATCTTTATGAATAATCAATTTTCCTCTATTTTGTTATGCCAACGTAATATATATGTTCAAGCCTCTTTCTGAGCTCTCTCTGACCATGCTAGCCATTCCTATGCCAACGCCATAATATGTAAACCGTGTACATTAATAGTTGTGATGGTTAATTCCAATCTTCAAGTCAATAAAATCTAGGATTACCTGGGAGACATGCCCCTAGTTATGCCAGTGGGGGTTTATCTTGATTAGCT